GGGCAAGTTCCCGTCAGTCGCGGAGAGGCCAAAAGACAACAAGGCTTGCGCATCCGAAAAGCCGTTTGCTTCCGCGCGAGGCCTGAATGTGCCGGGTTTTTGACCGCTCGCCCCAAAGATGGAATGGGGCGGACTTTGATCTGCCTTGGGAAAGCTGAACGATCCCCCCAAATTGGCCTGACCGCTCACACGGCCACCAAAGATAGAATCGGGCGAACTTTGATCTGCCTTGGGAAAGCTGAACGATTGCTCAAAACTAGATCCGTTGCCCCCATCAGTGGTCGGGCCAAAAGAGGTCTGATTCCTCCTTGGCTCTGGCTGGGGCGTGAATGGGCTGGGACTTGGGTTGCAACTTTTGGCTCCAAAAATGGATTGGGTTGGGCCCTGGTATGCCATGGCGAAGCCCGGCGGTTTCCTAAAGATGGGACCGTTGTGCACTCTAGTGCCAAACGTCGGTTCACGAGGAGTTTGACCAGTCATGGCGGCCGCACCAAAGGCGTTCCCTCGTGTTGTCGCGTTGCTCGCGCCTTTGTTGTCAAACCATGTCGCGCTCTGGAGTGGACGATTGTTTCCGAATGCGCCCAACAGATCGGTCAATGGCTCGGCTTGTTTACAATTCTTCCCTTTGCCTGGTTGGTGCAACGCCCAAAACTTGCAGTGGTGGCAATAATGGTAGACCTTCCCGTTTCGTCGCTTTACGCTCGGATCGTTTGGACCCGGTGCCACCAAATTCCATGGAGTTGCGCCATCATTTGTGGCTTCTTTCTGGTGGTTCTTCCTTGCGCCTTTCTTCGTTTTCTTCCCTTCTTTTTGTTTTCGATGAATACAACGTTACTCAGATCCATCTTGCCTCTTCTTCCTGTGCGGTGTGGTTGTTTAGGTTGTTGCTTGATGCTTGTTGTTTGATTGTGAGACGAAGAAAATGCGAAACAAAATCCTCTGAAGCACGTTTGAGGCTTTAAGTCCCCTAAAGTCAGGTTGAACCACGTTTGGGTAAGTCACGTGCATCAAAAGTCTCTGAGAACCCAGACTGAATAAGACTTATCAAGCTTCCCTTGACCACGTGCCAAGTGTGGTACGGTACTATTTCTCTACACACGACATTTAAACATGGACTACCGCATGCCACAACCAAATTTTTCTCTGGGCTCACAGAGACTCGTTTAAATCCTCGTCTGGCCTGTCAAAAGCGCCACACTACGAAACTAGCCAGCTTGCCGCTGCTTCTTGGCGGAGGCTAGCTGAGCCATGGTTTCACCTTTTGCTTTCAGGTGTACCGGTATGCCATGCCCAATTCCGGTAAGCAGCACCTGTGGCAGAGCCCACATGCTAGCTCAAGTAAATTTAACTTAAATTTATCGGAAACAGCTGTGGCCCAGCCAGTCCCTCATTGAGCCTATTTGCACCGCCCCTTGGCACAACGTCTTGCAATGTAGCATTGTACAGCTCGGCATAGTTTCCCACAGAGGCAACACAGTCTCGGAACATTTGCTTCAACTTTTCACCAAACAAAGAAACAATGGGCATGTCAACAGAGGTTTCAGCTGTAATGCCTTCCTCCTCTGCAAAGATGACTCCCATCACTATCCAATAGACGAAGTCATTCCATTGTGGATCTGTGTTGAGCATCATAAAGGCAAACGCATCTCTGCTTTCATTGTCGTAGTAGTAGGGTGACGAGAACTTGTAACCAAGACCTGTTGTTGGTTCCTGGATGCCAGCCTGAAGGGTTACTCTAGCACCAGCCACAACATCCACTGAACCATTGGCCAAAGCACCATATGCATCAGTCATGTCTTGCACCTCCACAAACACGACCCTGCTGGAATCACCAGCAAACAATGATGCTGCCAATCCTCGGCAAAACTCAATGTCAAAGCCAGACCATAGAGAATCGTAGGAATCAATCTTGGAAGAGGATACAAATGCTGGGCCTTTGGTTGGCATTACTCCACAGACAAGGTAGTTTTGCTCCAGAATCAGCGACAGGGTGCCATTAGCAACAGGACTTGGTCCAAGCTCAGTAATCTTCCCAAGTGGTATGGAGTACAACAGACCTGTTGACGACTCTTTGTCATAGACTGTGTTGAGACCATCTTGCCTTGGCACCTTGTCTTCTATGTGAAGACTGTAGAGGTCACCGTGATGCCCAAACTCTGCAATCAAGGTTGTCAGAGAAGAGATCAGGTCTAGCTCAGCTTCAGTACCTTTGTTGGATAAAGCCAAGTCCGCCATTTTGTCAGATTGATCTTTGGAGATGTTGTTTGCCTCTGCCAAAAAGAAGGCATTGACAGCAATGTCTGCCAGAGCTGACCACTCTGGGTCATCCTGTCTTGTCACCAGGCACAAGGGCTCCTTGGAAAAAAGCTTTGCACCTAACTTCCAGTCCACTTCCAATCATCAGTTACATAGACTGCACTGAACTTGGTGAGGAAGATTGGCTCTGACGCAATAACATTGCAAGTTCCTGACAGGAACCTTTCGACTAAGGTGTCCGTGCCATTGTATGGGACAATGGTACCACCCCCCAAAACTTCAGAGAGCACTGCAAGGTGAGTTGTACCTGCTGCAGCACAAATCTGCAGACCCCTACAGTCGCCACGGAAATCCTCCAAGTTGTCTGCACAGTCCACATATGTTGGCACACCTCCAAATGCCAATCCTGAGTAGAAATACGGGGTGGAAAATGTAAAGGAAGATCTTGTGTTTGCTTCATAGACATCGCGCCCCCTGTAGCAAATGGACAACGGAAAGAGAACATGATGAGAGTAAGTCACCTGCTGAAAAGAATTGGTGAAGCCAGACTTGATTGCTACAGTCAACATACATAGTATGGGTTGTGCCCTCTGTAGTGATATCCACTGTTCCATCGGCTAACAACTCGAATCTAGAAAAGGGAGTCACCCAAACTTGTTCAAATTTGTCAGGATCTCCAAAGACCAAAGAAGCCATCACCCTGCACTGCTGTACATTGAAACCGGCTAGTTGGTCTGATTGTTCCGGATCAATGATGCTGGCAAAGCCAAGATTGTTCATTCCACATCGTACATAGCCACGTTCCCTCACAACTTCCAGTGTAGGTCTTTTGGTGTTTTCCATGTTGTTTGTAGTGACATCATCCTTCTCTTTGGAAAGACCAAGCCCCAGACCCAGCACTAGTACCAGGAGAAGCACCAAGCTAACCACGCCACAAAGAATGTGTTTCATGGAATTGGGTTCTTTATTGTCGCCCATCCTTTCATCTATGACATCAGGAACTTGTACAGGAATCACATCTGCCTGTACCGCCTCTTGCAGGATAGTGTTTCTGATTTCTTCCTCGATCTGTGCTCTTTCAAGAAGGTCGTCTTGAACTGCCACAGCTTCCACAATGGGATCTTGTGGAAGTTGTTGCTGCGGCATTCCTGCAATGGCGACAGTTGTGTCGTTACGAGTGGTACCAACGGTTCCAGTTTCCAAATCGTTCACTGGTGGTGGACCCTCGTCGAATTCGTCCTCGTCGTTCTCGGGGTCGTCCGAAGCCGCACCGTCCGGGCCTCGCATGCTAAAGGCTCCCGGTGATGAGACCATTCGCGAAATCGCGGTGGTTGCCGACTGCGTCTCACCAGTGGTGGTGGTAGTAGCTGCATCAGAGGGTTTGGTAGGCTGCTCCATCTCTGTTTCCACACGAGCCTCCTGTTTGCTATCGGAATCTGGCGGCATCTCCTCGGAGACTGCTGCCACTGGCGCTTCTGGAGGAATCTCAGTAGACACGAAATCGGACTCGACGTCGTCAGGCAACACATCTGCTGCTGTTGCCTCGTTTCTTGGGCGCTGGGCGACCTGAGGGTAATCGTCGCCAGTCGATGTTGATCGTTTGCTCGCGGGAGGATTTGCCATCAAGATCTCCTTTTGAAGTCGTTCGATCTCGTGTGCCTCATACACATCGTTGGGGGAAGTCTTCTCTTCGTCTTTGCTGCCTGGAAGCGACGTCATGGTGGTGGTGGATGCTTAACTTCTTGTGCGCGACCTCCAACAAACAACAATAACAAACAACATGCAGGGGATAAAGACAACGTTCGAACTTTGGGCAGATGGGTTGAGTTGTGGATGTGGGTTGTGGGTGGAAGTGACCTCTCCATCTCACCCACAAGCAACAACAAGGAGAGAAAAGGGAGCAAAGGGAGAGCTCAAACAACCTCACAGACCTTCAGCCATAGACCACCACCGTAACATTGAGGACTCACTGGTATGAATATGAAAAAGAAATAACACGATAACCACCTTCGGAAACGCTCTCCTAAGAAAAGAAACAACAAAGGGAAAAAGCGAAAACAGAAATAAAAGACACTTTTCGATACGACACATCAAGCGAACAGAAGCAGAAGGAATGGATATCTACACTAAATCTCCAATTCTAACTGTTTAAATCACTTCTTTTCTTCTTCGAGAAGCGGTACTGATGGTCAGTACCGGTCAGATAAATATTTATTTATGTACAACCCGAGCTGGTACGCTGGTACCTTACCCCACAACGCGACCACCGAGACAGCTTTGCAAACGTAGTTGAGGTAAAGATCAATAATAATTTATGTTTCTTAATACTATAGGTTTACCACACCTACCTTTACGTCAAGCCTAATCTTCCGCTCCAGGCGATCCATACCAGCTACTACCTAGCCAGCCAGCTAGCTAGCTAGCAGAAGATGCTGAAGTAGAGCCAGACGGAGACCGCTTTGACACAATGTTGTTTTCTGTTTTCTTTGCCGAAGGTGGAAGGTGGCCATCTTGAACTGCAACCAGAAGGCGGCTTCGTGGCTTCCAGCAACTTGCTGGTGGATCGAGGGCGGCAATGATGGTGGTTGCAAAACTACTTGCTGCTGAGCAGTATGTTGGCAGAGACCGCATTCTCTGACTGCTCTTCCGTGGCCACTGGAGCAACCTGAATTGCAACCCAAGCCCTTACGCGAGCCGTCTAGCTGGCCAGGAATTACAGTACTGGGCGGATGAGCGGAAAGCACCACGTGGGCCCCTTCTCGCAGGATTGTAGTGTACCGGTACCCCAACTCCACTGCCCCAGAACTGCATCGGATTTCGCCTGACCCATTTGGAGCCTGGGTGCAGGATTTTATCTTCTACGGCCGTGTCAAGCATTTCTCGTCAGCCATGGTCCGACTAGCTAGCTAGCCAGTAGAGTGGAAATGTGCAATCTCTCTGCATCTGATGAGGTCGAAAAGATGCTGCCAAAACCTGACAATTCTTTGGATCTTCATTCGTCGTGGACTCTTTCAATGCATGCCAGTTGCGTCCTCCTGCAATTTCCGCCGAGTGGCGACCTGCCAGCGCACTCAATCTCGCTACGGTACCGGTAGCTACGAGTAGGTGGCTTCGTTTCTTCACGTTGTCATGGTACCAGGTAGTACTTTTGGTCCCATTTTTGGCACTGGCGCTGCCAATGACATTTCATTCTCAAACATCAGAGAAGGATCCATCCTTTTAGCAGGACGCATCCATCCACCAGAACAAAATCACTGTTGGGTGCAATCAACTGCCCAATGTAGTTGATCATGTGTCTGTGAGAAAAGCTGCACCGCAGCGGTTTCGCCATGCAAAGACACTTTGGTTGGGATACATGTTTGTAGCATGCTTGGAACAATCTTTCTGTAATGCCAATGGCAACGATCTGAAATCCGCTCATGATCCTTCAACCTTTGCATGGCCGTGTCATCTCTTCGATAAACTAACTGCTTCCTGAAGTGTTTCTCTTGGTTTTCTGCTCGAACCATACCGGTTGAGAGAGAGTTGATGGCGGATGGATCTCGTTTTTTTTCTTCAAAAAGTCTTGAAGAAAAATGACGCATTAGAGTTAGGGTACTGGTAGTGACCTCCAGGTGGCGATCTTCGGTGGTCTTGGCGCCCAACGGCAGCTGCCGCCAATCAATCAATCCAAATCACACAGTTGCACAGATGGATGAAAGATACACCCTGGCTGCAGAATAAGTACCGGTAATAGTGAAAGAGGAGTAAAGATAGCAAGAGCAGAGAGGGTTCAGTTATTAGACTAGCCTACGGTTGCTGATCTATGGCTTTCTTCTTATCACCCATTATCAAAATGTTTCCTCCGACGACAAAGAGTTCCCGATTCCCACGCCTCGGTTGTAGTAGTCCATGGGTGCCAATGCTACTGTTGTCGCTACTGTTGGGTTGTATGCTGACGAGAATACAAGGAAGTTATGATGTTCAGTCTTCTGTAATACCGAGGAATAGCCAGAAGCGTCTACCTGTCACATCAGCCATGCTGGATGCAGCCTTGTTGGAAACCCGTGGTGGTGCTTGGGGATTTGGTCGCAAGAAGAAACAACAGCCACAAACCAATGAGACAGATACTGATACTACCAACACTACCACAGCAACAGAAGACGTAGTAGTCACAGTGAGTCCCCGAGAAGAAGCAGCTCAATATCGATCCGAAGGAAAAGCCAATCATGACAATGGAGAATTCATAGCAGCTGCCGAACAATTTCAAACAGCGGCCAATCTACTGGAGAAACTATTAAAGGAAGATGGAGAAGAAGAATCAACTAGTACTACGGGTTCCTTTATCATTGACATTGACACCATTGACAAGAGTGATCTACGGGACGAATGGGCCACGTGTCGGTTGCACGAATCGCTCTGTCACCTCAAAGCCGAACAATACGACCAATGCATCGAAGCCTGCAATGCTCTCGTGGATCAAAATGACGACAGTTGTGCTCCCGTATTTCGGGCACGGGCATATCACCGACGAGCCAAAGCCAAACTCGCATTGGACGACACGGATGGAGCCTTGCTGGATGCTCGATCGGCAGCCTTTTTGGGGGACCGAAAAGCCGTCACATTTTATGGAAAGCTGCTACGGGAAACAGGCGGTGGGATCGCGGCCGAAAATCCACTGGAAGCCATGTTTTCGTCGTCCGGTAGTAGTGGTATGGAAGCACCACCCATGGATTCCTTGATGGGGTCACTCTTGAGCAAAAGTTCTCTGATGGACGGTGCAGCTGGATCGGATCCCGGTACTGACTTTTTGACGTCCTCCTTGTTGGGATCTTTGGGTGGTGGCACCCCCGATGGTGGTGGATCCTTGGCCAAATCATTGCTCAAAAACTTGTCCAAAAAGCTCGACGATGAATCGACTCATGATGGGATTTGTCGGTACCTGCAATCCGCCAATGCGTTACAGCTCCAATCCATGTCTAAAATGGCAGGCATTGAATTGTCGTCGGATCAAGCCTCCCGATTAATCAACATGGCACATGGTGTGACACCCAAAACGATTCGGTTTACCGTCAAGAACACCAAACGAGCCATTTGGGGCGTTCAATTGATCCGTAAAACCATGGCCTTGCTGTCCAAGTACAGGCATATTCTATTCTTGTTGGTATTGCTGCAATGGACCAAGAGTGCCGTCTTTCGACCCATTCCGGTACCCAAAGGTGCCAAAGTAGTGCCGCCACCCAAAATTGCCACGAAACCTGGAGTACCCGTCAACAATAACAACAATAATGGTCCAGGAGCAGCAGCTGCTAATGGCAAGAAGCCAGTGACGCCAGGTTTACTGAACAACAATCCGATGGGAGGAGCCAGAGAACGACTGGCAGGGCTAAGATGAAAAAAGCACGGAGTGAATGAAGTAAGCAAAACAGCAACCAGTACATGATAGTGAACTAAAAGATAAAGTACTGTGTTGCAAGTGTTGTAATTTACTGGCAGAAGGAAAGATACCATAGTACCAAGCTGGGTTTTCAGGTTGGCTTTCCAATACTGCTCCTAGACAACCAGTTGTCGCAACCTAGTCCCCAATTTCCCCTTTCCTTTCCTAAGCATGGCCCCCTGCTGGCTTCCGTAGATAACTTCCATATTCTAGCTAGCCAGAGCTAGACTCCTGTCTTGAACATCATGGGAGGTGTGGACTTGCACATGCCGTTTGACTTCATTTGTGTTTTTTTCTCAATCACGAGTTAGTCGTCATGCAAGATTCAGCAAAGCCGTTGTCATTTTTTCAGACGCGCCTTCTTGCCTCACACTTTCTCTGCCTTTCGGAAGAAAAAAGGCAAGGAGCTCAAGGAAAGCATCAACTAACAAGCGAAGCCAGAAAGAAATCTAAGCACAACAATAATGGTGGTCGCCGGGAACTACTCAGTGCGCATAGTCAATGCCGAGACAAAGGAGCCCTTCAAGGAACACACGGGGCCTGACGGAAAGGTCTACGCCGAAGTAGAACCCGATATGGAATACTTCATTGAGGTCGAAGTCGTTGGAGGAGATCCTGCTTCTTCTCGGTCTCAATACAATATCAGTGTTGATGGCAAGAAGCTGCCTTACTGTGGCCACGCAAAATCTTTTGGAAAAAAGTACAAAGGAAATTGGTCTCGTGTCAATGGAGTCGAGACGACGCAAGCTTTTGTTTTTCAGCGTCCAGAATTTTCCGAGCGCAAGGGTTCTTCGCCTGGTGCCTTGATGGGTGATATCAAGCTTGAGTTCTATGAAGCCATCTACAGCGGTACTCGATCCAAGCTAAAAGACGTAAAACCTGATTCCTTTCAGGCTGACTCGGTAAGCAGCAGCCTCACCCATCGCCAAACAAAAAAGGTCCTTCGTTCTGGAACTGGGTCCGTGGTGGAAACCAAGACACGTAACAAAGTTCGCAAAACATACTCAAAAGGGGCCTTTCTGGAATCCATCACAATCCACTATTGCACAGCGTTGGGCTTGGTTCATGCGGGTGTCTTTGGAAAGGTGGACGATATTTGGGCCAAAGCGCGGATTGTCAATCCTTGGAAACCTTCTTCTGACGGTCAAGAACAAGAACGTCAACAACCCAAGCGAATCAAGCGTGAAGCGAAAACCGTCAATGGGGTCAAAGTGGAAGCTCCCAAGGTGCTGGAAGTGTTTGATCTCACCGGAGATGAATAGATTGATCAAGCAGACTGGTTGATGGTCAACTGGATACGCTGCATTTCCGCTCAGTGAACAAGCACAATAAAAACGGACAGCAACAATAAAATTTGTCGCTGGTTTGAAAAGGGTGTAAGGATATGCCCTGCAAGCCACACAACAAGATGTAAAATAGAAGTCTGCATTCATTCATGACTGTCCGGTCTCCAGCCTTCCATTGCCAGGTCCTTGTAGTCAATTAAGCTTGGACAAACTACAGAGTCTACCAAGTCAGTGAACTTTGTAAACCAGATGGGCATGGTTACGGCGGTCCAACAGCTTGCCCAGAGACGTATTGCCTCAACAGCCAAGCAAGTTTGCAATAGGCGGCTTGGAGGCATGATGCAGGACACGCAGGCGAGTGGCTGAAGCGCCGTGAGGGTGACATGCTTCTTTGTCTCAGCGACCCAACCGAGAGGAAGAGCAAAATCCCGAAGTATTTAGCCTGGTGAAGTACCTTGAAAGACAGTGCATGGATAAGGAAGAAGGAGATTCTACACTTGAAGCAATTCGAGCCGTTCCTTGACGGTTCAGTTTCCAATGTAATCACGTCATAAAGAATGGCTCAAGTCTAGCTAGCTATCGCACAACTAAGTAGTTTTGAGAATGAATCGAATAGCATCGCATCGTTATGTTGTTACAACACACCCGAATTCATGACACTGAGTTTGATGAGTGGTTTGTTTTCATTGCAGTACATGGGTCCTCCATATTGACACGCTCGTGTGGGTGCCGACTTGGTAGTGGGTCCTCCAGTCAGTCCCATGTAATTGACCTTGCTGGACTGAATGACGGGGACTTGATTGAGTTCTTGCACGAGTTCGAGGTTTTCCACCCGTCCCACGACAATGTGTTCTTCGTCCAGTAATGCCTGGACGGCGTTGCTACCGCCTCCGGGATAAATGGTAAATCCAAATCCCGAATCGTTGCCTTTGCGAACCGAGACAATCCCGGGAGCATCGTGTAAGAGTTGATTGTTTTCTTTTTCTTGCCAATTGGGATATTCTCGAGCAATGAATTTGCCGGATACGGATCCGACATCGATGCGTTCGTTTTGTATAATTCTCCAAATCTGACTGTATTCGTAATTGACTCCCTTGTCTTTGGCTTCGATACACGTGTTGTATACTTTGTTGGCTTCGAGTTGTTCCTTTTGCAGGGTCCGTTCCGCCTTGGGTTTGCAGGGTGCCGGGAGTCCTTTGGAACTGTCGACGAGTTGTTTGAGCATGCTGGTGGATTGGGGCGCCTCATTCCCAAAAAGACCAATGACGAGGCGTTTGGGTCCTTCGGATCCCAAACCCTTGATATCGAGAAAGATGCGATCCGTCACTTTGGCGTCTGATGTTGCCGCGTTGGAAGCAAAAGTGGGTGCTGCCATGACGGTCAATGCCGCTGCCGATTGGAGCAACCACGATCGGCGGGATGGAAGAAAGGATTGGTCGTTGTCCCATAATTCTTCATCCATAGTATTACCATTCGCATTGGCCTTGAGATTAATACTCCAGCTTGTCTTGACATGGCGGTGGATTCTACCAGCAACACTCTGATGTGGACTCCATGCTTGACAGCACACAATGGCTTGCAGACTGAACAAGACACTGACGAGAAAAGCTGGTAAACTGTTCATGATGTTGGTGTTGTTTGCTGATCCTCTGATGAACGGACTATCTTGTTGTCTCTTGGGCTTTCATTCAGCATTCATCGGCCGATGATGCCAATACTTGCAAACAGGCGGCGGGGGAAAGCCAAGATCGTTGGCGTCAGAAAAATGTGGCAAAAGATCGCGACGTTGACTTCAATCACAACCGTGACTGAAACAGCAAGATCCCAACGGCCGGATCAACCTCCCTCTCCGTGGCTTTGGCAGTCGAAATAAATGTCGTCCAAAACAAAAAACAAAACAAAAAAAGAAACAGAGGAGACTGTCATCAGCGTGGAACTCCTGGAGACGCCTTGTTCTTGAATTGATCATTTGATTGGTGTGCTTTGCCTTGCTGAAGACAGATCCCAACAGGTGACAGCGATGCGATGATCACTACAAGCTCCCCTTTAGAATAGCTAGCTGTCCTCCTTGTCTTTTTTGTCTGGCGTCATTGGTGTTAGCGAGCGAAACGAGAAATCCATCATGCGAAGACCCGTGGCCCAATCATCCCCCCAAGAGAAGCAATCATCACGTTCTCCACAAGTCATCAAAAATCAACAGTCATTGTCGCCTTCGTCGTCTCCTAGAAGTCCTCATCTTCGCTCCTCGTTGAGTTACGGAAATACTACTAGCAGCACTACTAGTTCTACTCCACGAATTTCGCTACGATGGCTCTGTTTGTCGCTCATGGCAATGGTCGCTCTCATTTTTGTCATGGGGACCATGGGACTCTTTTTTGTGGGGAATCCGTGGCCATCCAGCGACAACAAAGCTCAAGACAAGCTGCTGGAGCCACCCACCGTCTTGAACCAAGACCAAGAAGAAATCCAACGAGAAATCCAAAACTTTTTATTTGACAACAATCATCAAGATCCTTCTTCTGTTTCTCCCACCATTCAACACTTACTTGAGACCTGGGAATCGCCTCTTGTCCATATTGTCAATACCCGCTTTATGCAAGAACAGGGACACCTCAAAGCCCTCGGGAGAGCACGATTCTACCTATTTACCACCTTTTGCTTGCCCACCATGCGACTACAATCCACACAAGATTTCTTGTGGATCATCAAAACGGATCTACAATTGGACGTCACACTCCTCCACAAAATGGTGCACCTTCTACAACCCTACTCGAACATTTACTTGGTGGCATCCAATCAAAACTACATGATACGCAATACCAACAACAACAATGCCGGAAATTCCTGGAGGGACGGAGCCGAAATTCAAGATTTGTTGCACGCACCCATTTACACGGGAAATATAACACGATTGTATCAAGCCATGTTACAAACCAATCGACAAGTCATTCTAGAAACCAGACTCGATGCCGACGATGGATTGCACAAGTACTATCTAAAACAGATTCAAGACAAGGCCATTGATCAGTTCTTATCTACAACAAGTGAACCTCCCAAATGGCTCTATTGGTGCACACGACGACACGTCGAATGGCATGGAGGAGCAGCAGTAGTCAAAAATCCGGCGTTGCTTCCAGGCAAGAACCAAACATTGTCACAACAGGAACTAGTAGACTACTATGGATCCCTGCTCGTCGTGGAACATTCCAAGCTCTGCATTACTCCGGGAATCACAGTCGGATTTGGCATTGGGACACCGGCCGATCAAGTTCCCATTCATGCACACGACAAACTTTTTCAAGAGATACGATCCCTCGCTCCACACAATGCCTGTGGATACGAACATGTCAAGGATTGTCTCGAACTTGTTGAAGACTTTTTGTTGGTGGCGGTGCGGGCGAGAACACCCACTTCGGCGGGAATGCAACGAGTGGAAATGGAACAAGAGGAGCAGGACAATGACACTACTACTAATAACACGACAACCACCAAAAACAACAAAAAGAAGAAGAAGAAAAAGCATCACAAACCAACACCACCACATGTGTCCAGCTTTCGAATGTATCTCTACTGGGATTTGCTACACGACGATTTTGGGGTGTTGAGAGAACAAATCAAATACACCAATCGATACATTTTGGATCATCTGGTTCCCATTGCCAAGGATAACTTGCAGGGACAATGCACATCCGATCACAGTTGCAAGGTACGTACGTTGGCACTGACTAGATGGGTAACTACTGTGGGATATCATTCAAACAGGCAGTCGAGTCTTTTGTCCCATGTATATTTTAAACAACACCTTGATTTTCCACACACAGAACGAAACAAAGGACAAGCTTCTAAAGATCATCGCAGAGAATGGGGGTTGAAAATTCGATTCTAGAGGAGCCTATTGACTTGTTTTCACAAGAGAAAGCGACACCTGTCCCACGGACAAGAAGGTGCTGTTGCATGCCCGTGGCCTCCCACAGTTGACAGTAGAAAGTCAAACCAAAGGTCGTCATTGCAACTGGCAGTCAGTGCAGCAACGGTATATGTACTTGTTGCAGATACACACTGGATGGTGGCCTCCCTCTCACAGAATACGTCGGCCACCATCAAGCTTCTGCTATTTTCAGCGTCCCTTTCACATTTGGACCCAGAGGCCTCGAAGCGTCTGCTTCCAGCAATAATGAGTCATCCGACGGCAGAAGTATAGACGCAATGTGACAAATAAATGTTGGAAGGATCCTGGAATTCCGAAACGATGGGACTGCTACGAAGCTACTGCTACTTCCAGTCGTTCCCAACAGCAATAACTACAATGGATTAATTCTATTAGCTAAAGCTGTTCATACTCCCATCTCTTCCTCTCTTAAAACGTAGGAACGTAGGCCCACTGGAGGCTTGCACTTGTTGGTGTCTCGGACTCGTCGGAGGCTCCTTCCGCAAATACAACCGTTGAGGTTCATAACAAGCCCCCGCGGGCCAATGACTGTTGCCGGCACCGGTTTTCCGATCCGAGCCCATTCACAAGAAGGATTGGCACAAAGGAGAACTGGGCCTTGGTCACCGTCGGCTTGTTCCAACCGAGTATACTTGTATGCAATGAGCTGATCGGTGTTGCTTGAGGCCTCTGACCACGAGACACACTCACACCTTTGCCCAATTTCGAACTCCTCCGCTTCAAAGAACGATGCATTGGACTGCTTGGATTCGGGTGTCTTGAATTTGTGCTTTCTTCTTTCTGCCATCGTTCGAGTGTTGGTGACACCAAGGTCATGAATCGGGTAAAGAGTGACCATGACAGTTCCAGGTCGGCAGTTGGCAAAAAGAGCAGCAATTCTGGAATCGACCGTGTTTGTTGAGACTTTCGGTTCAGATCTTTGACTCATCACTTCTGCAAAATTGTTGACAAAGATCCGATCAATGTCGCACGTCAGCCATTCTCGCAAGGTTGGGTCTTCAATTCGCCCATGCTTCAACTCAACCAGACCTGCTCGGTGGTCCCATTCAGTGGGCTTCGGGAAAGAAACAAGAAACACAACTTGTTGGCACGACCTAGACGGCAAACAGCAGCCAGCGAACGTGCATGTGTAGTCGAGGAGTTACCTTTGACATTCTCTTCTCGTTTGCAACCTTTGCAATTGTACTGTGGACAGCCTCAGACGCATAGTATCGTGCTTCAACAAGCTCTACTCCTTTGGCTCTACACCCCATAGTGAAGGCCGCCTGCAAGCATGTATTCCCAATGCCATGGCCCAAATCAAGGAAGACATGATGTGGCATCAATTCCATAACCCCTCTGAAGACAGTCTACATCGGAAGTTGATGACGAGGTTGAGCATCCATCTGTAAACAACGCAAATGTTGAACCGACGGTTTCTCGTTCAGGGCTTACCTCCAAGGCATGGGGCAAAATGCGCCCGTACTGGGCTTTGCGTTGTCCTGTGCTGTCACTCTTCGCGACGAATTGATTCGCTCTTTTGAAACGACCACTATCCTCGATTTTCTCGATACTGACTCCGAGTGCCCCCGTTTCGTCCCCACCTACTAATTTCCAAAGCTTCCTGAATTTCGTCAAATTGTACGGTCCGTTGTCCGTCATTTGACACCGTTCCCTGAATTTCTCCAATGCTTCAGCCATTTCTGGGTTTTTAAATACTCTCTCACATTTCCCATCGTTCGATTCGGCGGGGTACTGGTAGACGACACCTGGAACTTCAGTGTAAGGCACCCTGGTAGCAGCCGTCATCGAAGTCATGATGCTGTTTTCGTCGTCGCTATCCCCGGACTCGTCGGAAGCTTGCTCTGCATTCATTCCAGTGGAGGAAGCATCGGCTCTTTCTTTCGTACAGCCGCTGTCTTTGGATTCTCGCTGTACCGGCGATTGAGAGACGCGTCGAGCCTGGACGGCAGTGGCGGTTTGCCCTATCTCCACTTCGCCGTCGGGGGGCGAAGCGCATTTCCTTTGTGTATGGTCGACTATGCTGTCTGAGTCGCTCTGTTCACATCGTGCCCCTATCAATTCCGCGCTTGCAAGCAGCGTCCGTCTTCGTGTTCTCCGAAGGTTTCCATTGAAGACCGGAGGTTCGTATTCAACTACCGGGGCTTCCAACTGTTTCTTAGGCTTCCTTTTTCGCTTGCGCTTGCGTTTTGGTTTGGTTTGCTCCCGTTTGTATCGACTGCACCGACGTCCCGATCTACTCACTGTGTACACGCGGGAGACTAGTTCAGCTTTTTTGTCGTTCTCGGGTTCTTTTGGTTCAGATTCGTCGGGTTCAGAATCATCTGTTGCTGAATCTGTCTCTGATTCATACATGGCCCTGAAGTACCCAGGCTTCTCCTCAAACTCTGACTGTGGGCGCCCAGCGTCATCGGATGATGATAACTGATTCTCGTCTTCGTCGTCTTCTTCATCACTCGATGAGTGAATTTCGATAACTTCGGGTTGCTTCCCGTCCAGATCTTCCTTACACTCTGGGGCTTTGCCATGACTGCCCTCGTCGAGGCGAGATAGAATATTGACTCTAGCGTTGGAGCTATTTTTGGTTGGTCTGTTGATGCTGTCAACAGTCGCACCGCGATCGCCTGAACCTCGAATGTCGCTGTCATGGCACTGAAGAAGGTCTTCATGGCTACGTGGTGATGACCGTAATTCGGCACCAACCTGCGAAGTGTGTGCTTTCTCATTCAAAGGTACGCCGTCACTGTCGACTTGGACTCTTTGCCCCCCATGCCTCTCCGAGTTCTGTTTTCCTTCCTTCTCATGGGTGGGTGGGGAGTACATGTATGCTGTTTTCGCTTTCTCTTGCGATTCGATGATGAGATTTCTCGAAGAAGAACTACTAACATCGACTTGCACAGCTTCTGGCGTCTGCTTGCTTGTTTCTTCGTCTTGGCACCGAGGGGCCAACCCGCGTTCACAAGGACTGCCCCTTTCTGCATGCCCAAGTTCAGTTCCAACCTGAGCCAACTTTTCGTTTCGAGCTGGCTGCTTTTCCCTCATGTTGCCGAATTGCAGCATGGCTGCAAGGGGCCGTAATCTCGGGGTTGTCTGCTGGGCAGAAACAGATTCAGAATCAAGGACGTGTTGATGCTTGTCCATCGACTGTGATTCTCGTTCCTTCCTGCCGTCCAATTGCTCGACCTCGACACGAGAATCGGCCTCGCAATGCTCCTTATTCAAGAATGCGTCTTTGCCGGCTGAAACGGAAGTCGGTTCAAGGGACACCTCGGATGGATTGTCGTTGTTTCGTTGTACCGAGCATGCTGCTATGTCACCTCGCTCAGCAATGGTACTATTCGCAGCGGCAGGCTCTGCGTGCAGCTGTTTGGGAGGGCCCACTACTGGCGACTCGTTTGTCCGCTCTGACAGAGCTCCTGCAGTGAGTTGTGCATTATTTTGTGGTGATCCTTCTTTTGAGCCGGATTCTGTCATGAGGATTGCGTTTTGTGCTGCGTCGTTCGTCGCTAAACTCCTGCCGGTTTTTGTCAAGGCCGTAGCAGGTGATTCCTGTATCGACACGTTTTCATTGTCGTTTCGCTTATCAGACGGCATCTTCGTCGTCAAGTCAGATTCTCGCGACTTAGCCTCCGTCGACATCATTGCAGATTGGGATTTGTTCTGTTCAGTAGCAGAAGTGCCGGTTTCTCTGTCAGACTGCAGACTGGGCAAGGCCTCAGCAGGCGACTTTGCTACCAAGCTCTTTTCTACTTCCATCGGTTGAGCCTCAGTCGTCAAATTAGATTCTGTCATTGAGAAGTTTGCAGCAGCAGTAGATTGGTTGGCGTCTTTGCACGTAGTTGAAGTTTCGCCCGATGCCTTTCTAGGTACTGCTTTTGACGTTGCCGTTGTGGTCAAATCTCTCTCCAACTCCATCACGAGGTGATTCTTATCGTTTTGCAAAGAAAATTTCGACGTTTCTCCGTTCTGTACGGACTCCTCCACTTGAACTTTTCTGATGTCTTGATTCTGATCAAGTTGTTCCTTGCTGCTTGTCGATGTTTCCTTTGCTGTTTTAGGAGGAGTTGAACACTTGGCTTCTGTTGCGGTAGAAGCTGCTGGCACTTCAACTGAAGCAGGCTCCTTGGACGATTCTTTCCCATTTTCCACCGGGTGATCATTGTGCATTGCTGCTTCAACTGCAGATGGATGCTCCACCGACTCAATCTCCACTGTTGCAGTGGAAGCTGCAGGCACTTCAACTGAAGCAGGCTCCTTGGATGATTCATTTTCCTTTTCCACCAGGTGCTCGGTGTGCATTGCCACTTCAACGGCAGATGGCTGCTCCACTGACTCGTTCTCCACTGTTGCAGAGGAAGCTGCAGGCACGTCAACTGAAGCCGGCTCTTTGGATGATTCTTTCCCCTTTTCCAGCGGGTGCTCAGTGTGCATTGCCGCTTCAACTGCAGATGGATGCTCCATTGAATCCTCATTCTCCACTGCCGCTCGATTTTTATTGGGTTCTTCTTCCATGAGGATACTATTCTCCGCCACGGACTCCTTATTGATCTTTTCTCTTGGAACAACATTCGTTGGATGCTTGCTTGTTTCTTTGGTGGTTGACTTTGGCGTTCCATTTTGCAGTGTCTGCTGTAAACTAGTACTATTGCCAAGAGGCTCTTCCCAATAATCGCCTTGTTGAAACGTAGGCAGAACGCTGCGAGAGTGAAATCCTTTTTGAGCCTTCAAGAATTTGGACCATCCACTATTTTCGGCGGGCGTTGGTTCCCACACCGGACGCAAACTACGACGACTTTTCAAGGTGGCGATGTCCTCCTCCACCACCTCATCGTCGTCTTGCAATTCTTGGATCGGATCGGCAAACTGCGAGTCCGGCTGCCATTGGATTTTGCCAATGACGGTGTTTGCCAGTTGATTCCGCACGACATCCAATGGATCTTGTGGTGTTTCGCAAGCAGAAGCTTCTTCCTCCGCAACAGACTCTTCCGAGGAAGCTTCACTGGCAGCCGGAGTCACAACACGAGAAGTGGTAGCTGTAGTAGTAGTATTCGGGGAGGCCTTGTCGTTGTCGTCCGTTGCCAGTAAGGGATGATCTTCTTCTTTTTCCTGCACTACAGCAGCAGCCTTCTCTTGGTTCTTCTTGGCTGCTTCTGCTTCTCCATCACAACTGTCATCATCGTCGTCATCTATAATGATGATGCGCCTTCGTCTGAATTTTTTCTTCTTGAGAGGCTTGGTGGGATCATCTTCCGCGTCATCAAAGCGATGCTTTCGCCGTTTGCGTCGCAACTCATTCTGCAATGCCAAGGGTATTCTCTCATCACGGACGCGATTAGCGCACGGCCGTTGCAGCTTTAATGGTGGAATCTCCTTGGGAAGTTCCCCTTCGACTCTTCCCAGTGTACTACTAGCAGCAGCAGCATTGGCTACTGCCAGCGCATTGGCGCTCTCGGAAAAGAGTGACGATAGATGGCAGCCGCCAAAATGCATTCTGAAGCCTTGCTTGCTTTGCTTTTCACAAGATCCAACCAAACAAGGACGAGGCTTAAGATGGATGTATTGATTGACAACTAAGGAAACCTCGGCTACAGATTGCTGTTGTTAGCGTCAAGTAGTAAAGGGACTGTGCAGTAGCACTGTAGTGCTTCTACTGGTACAAGATCTTGACCAAAAGGGATGTGATTGCATGTGGCTGCTGCTTTCGGCTTTGCCGATTTCATTGGCTTCGGCTTCTTTCCGGGTTCCCCAACAGCACCTGGGCAAGGTCAGCGATTTTCCGCACGGCGACGGAACACGCGATGTAGCCATTAGCGAAAGGAACACATTTTCTTCTTCTGAGCATTCATATACTTACTTGTACTTGCAAACTCCTCTAGCTAGCTACCGGTACGTAGACTCGACTCCTATTCTACACGTATTACAATTATTATCTATAGCTTTCTGGACATGGGGACGGTTCAAAGAAGTGCTCTATCTACTGCAAGTACCGGTAGCACTTGACCTGGAGAAGGCGACATGGGGAGGTGCGTGCTCTTAGCTCTCGTACGGCACCGTACGGTAGTGACTTCGAGTAGTCATACGATTCGAGTAGTCCGCGCGGCTTCCATCTTCTTGAAGTTTTTCAATGTCTTACGAGCAGACATAACCTCTCCCAGTAGTCTAGTAGCTAGCTAGCGCGGCGAACTGATAGATTGAAGTCGTCTCGACCCCGACAGCGAAACGCGTAGACCTCATCGGTAACTAAAACTCCTTCGTGCAATCGAAGCCTCGTCCCGTACCAGACTTCCAGCCAATAATATGTATGTGGATATAGCGTGGTCTTGTCTCGAAGCAATGGTTTCCCCTTCCAAAAATTACATGTAAATGTACTAAAATTAGTTATGAGGAGGTCACTCGGGAAGCAGTGACAATTGTCGGTCGACCGACTTTGGAAAGTTGTGACGGCACGGCACCGTCGATCCGCCCGTGTCGGTAAAGCAACTGTGGCGACTAAGGGCCAAGACTCGTTGTTTTGTCTGCAGCCTCTCACTCGGCTGTTGCCGTTGGAAGTTGGAAGGCGTATCCGCAGGCAACCGTGAATCATGCGGAAGCCGGAAGTAGAAGCTGGAAACGGAGAAATGGAAGACAATCGTTTGTGCTCGGCCGGGCAACCCGATAGGGACACATCGTTGTCCGGTACAGGCTGAGGCTTGGAAACCGATCAATTATGCGCCTGACATTCTAGACTTCGACCTCAGTCGAAATGTCAGACAAACCAAAAGTTGCGTCTGACATCGGGCCCCATGCTGCTGAAAGCTCAGGAGACAACTCTTGAACATGAGACACGTCATGCTGAATAGATTCGCAAGGAGTTTCTTCAGACTCATGGGTGACGACAGGTCCCACCAAAGAAAGCAGTACAGGGAGGAGAATCAACCCATGTGCAACTGCAAGGAGTACCATGGAACACAGGGAAATAAAGACTGCTCGCATGATCGTACTGGTACCGAAGCCAAGCATTGAAATGCCCAAAAGGGTTGAAGCTCCACCCAAAAGAATGGAGCTGCCCATGGTCTCCAAAGTCTCCTTGACCCTGTCATCACGAGATGCGCTGGAGGACTCCACGTATCGTAACATTATATGCAGCAGAAAGTCAACAATCAAACCAATAGAGATGACAAGGCAGACATAGGTTACTGCATTGATATCAAGGCCTGCCATTTCCATCACACCTGCAATAGGACACAAATGGATGAGATTCGTTGAGCCGGCCAAATGGCACTGTTTTAATCAATTTCCTTCCTGTGCTTACCCAGCAAGTCAATGTAGACAACCGAGACCATTGGAACTATGAAGCAAACAGCAGTCCAGTGTGGGATAAATATCAGGGTCACAAGGCTCACAACACCAACACTGAGGATGGTTGTCGTGATCAATTCCTTGATGGCCACATTGTAGAACTCCCAGACAAGATAGATGTTTTGAAAGGTAAAGAATGACTCTTCTCCTCCAGCCTTGCCCTGATTAATGTCTTGACTCTCAGTGATTGCCCTCTGCCCATTCAGATGGTCAATTGTGTTTTGAATAGACTCCAGTAAGAATGAGTTTCTTGCTAGAATAGTGCACTTGGATGCAGTGATCTTCCCGGTGTTGTTGTCAATGACTATGTCATTGCCATATGCTTCTTTGAAGGCAGGAATGTTCAAGGCAAACTGAATCTGTTCTTCAAAAGGCAAATCCCTAACAACATCAAAGTACTCTGTTTCCTGGATTGCTTGAAGGTCACGAACCCAACACAAAGGTGGTGGCGCCCCCAATGCTGGGAGGGCCTGGATTTCTTCCACAAAAGATATCATTTTCTGTTGCACCAAAGGATCACCTTGATCTTCATTTCGGAAAAAGATTGAAAATGCAAAAGACCTCTCTTGGAATTCCTCTACAGTCGTCAAGGCAGGGATCATGTAGGAATCATCAGCGAACAAAGTCTTGATGTCAATGTCTTGCTTTAGCATTGTGGTTCGATAGATACAAAAGCCAAAGAAAGCAGAGAAAGATATCAATACCAGTACCTTTGATACTGGGTGGAGTAGGCGGCGGGCATGCCAAGCCATGATCTTGTCAGCAAAGTGGGTCGACTGTTGGGACGAATCGGCATTGATCCCACTGTCATTGGCGTGGCCCTCTTTGGCTTGGCTCTTGCAGCAAATGGCAACATCCAGTCTTTTGTCTTTGATTCGCTTCTCGTCCAAAGCAAGAATAGCTACAAAGAAAGTGATCTGGTAGAGGAAATCAATGATGACAGTGGGGAATGCTGACATCAGAGGAGGAGGTAGGAAGGCGGCACAAAGGGTGAGCAATTGATGGGATAGTGCTGAAAGGTGGTTTATATGCACTCACCATAGAGACACAGCCAATAGATAGACGGAACACTGGACGTTAGTCCCAGTATGAAGGCAGAAGCTGTTGAGATGGTCGTGACAGTGATGCTTGGTCCGGCCTCAAGTATGGCCAAGCGAATGCGCTCTTCACCATCCAGAGTTTTGTCTGTTCGAAGATACTCTCCAGTGATGATGAAGGTGTCATCAAGCCTGCCCAGAAAGATACCAAAAAAGAAGATGCAAATGTCAGAAAAGAAGGCAGCACGACCACCACTGCTGTCCGTTCCTTACCCTATGCCAAGCACGACAAAGGGAAGGATTTGTGTCATACTGGTGAATGGAACTCCACAAATAAAGAGAAGGCCAAAGCCACTGGAGAGGGACAAGAGGATGGTTACAATGCTTCCCAGTCCCAAGAGACATCTGGATTGAACCGGGTCTTTTTGGAAAAAGACCAAGCATGTGAATGCGCTCATGGCAAAGAAGACTGCGGGCAGGAGGTACAAATCTTTGTCGATGGCTCTTCGAAACTCATCAGCTCCAGATCTTTCAGCATAGTAGTCCAGCCGGAGACCATTTGTTGCATCTTCATCCCACTGTGCTTGCAGGTCAGCAAGTCTTTCCAACACTGCTGCTTCAAACTCAAGTGTCTGCTCTCCCTTGTCTGTGAGCATGACGAAGACAAAAAATGCTGGTACATAGGTAATGGTGCCATTTTCATCGTGCTGCAGGTTCCCCATAACATACTCAGAGTCAGTTGGTACCCCCCCTGGGTACTCTGGGGAAGACAACTGCTGAACAAGATCATCCTCGGTGTTTACTTGATCCTCAAACATCTGATGGTCATGGTACCAAAACCTTGTAGTAGACAGAATTTGGCAGGTATACTCTTCATTATAGCTGTCATAATAAGGTGCACCCTCACAGACTTCATTGTATCCAGTGGTATTCCTGACAGTATCCAAGGCTTCAAAGACTCGCCTCAAGGAATGCATTGCCAGAACATTGTCACCATGGCTATGAATCATCAGGACAGTGTTCCGTGCAGATTCACCCAAGCCAGATTCATCAAGATACCATTCTTCGTGAAGCCGTGAAACGGCCTGGAAGGGTGTGTAGATCTCATTTTCATCGACATTGATATGAAAGTTTGTAGCCAACCCAGTACTTATGAGGGTGACAGATAGGATGATGATTGTCACAAAACATCTAATTGGATTGCGCGCAGCTGCCAGTGCGAGGGTTAAGACAAACTTGCGATTGGCTTCATGGAGCGCATTGGTAGCCTTTGACCACCATGGCCACACCACGTGGTTGTTTGCTTTTCTGCTCTTGCCAGCTTCGCAGTCAGTGCCATCACCAGAAGAGCTTGAACTCGAGAGCGAATCCTCAGTTGCGGCGCCTGTAAGGTTCCATTCTGGTTTCCACGGCGAATGGGTAGCGTCAGGGTTTGCTGTTGTCATGTTATTTTTGTGTAGCAATATGAATGTTTTGCGTTTCTAAAGTGGTTTGTGTGATCTTGTGAGCTTTGCAAGGTTGTTGGGCGACTGGGTTGGTTTTGTTGCCTTGTGCTCGTACGAAGCTTTGGGAGCTCGGATCAAGAACAAAGTTACAGTTAACGCTCGCTTATATTTATAATCTTATATTTATTCGCTCTATAATATTTATTATATCTTGAGTTCCCCCCCCCCAGTCACAAGTGACCGTGAATGACGTCAGTACACCCTTCGCAAATCTCGTAGCAGCAAAACAATCGCTCGCAATCCATCGCAAACGGTCCAATTCGACAGAGACATACGTGTAAATGCCAATGCATGCCAATGCATGCCGATGAGGTGCCGATGGGAGTTCGCTTGCCTGTCCATTCTCTGCCAGTCCGCGCAAATCTTCGTTCGTGGGGTTTTTCATGGTGTTTTCGCGATATTTGCGCAGAATGGCAGAGAGGAGACAAAAACAATTCTCTGAGCAACAAAACAAGTGCAAGCAAACCATAACAATTCCTCCAATCCGACCTAGACAACATGAACGGCGCCAACATGAACGGCGCCGATTCAACCGCAACGAAGAAGAAAGGAGCGAAGAGGGGACCGAAAGCAGGTTCAAAGAACGATGTAGCCAAGGCGAAGAACAGATCTGACTGGTACAAGGCCTGCCATTCCTTTCGTACAGAGTTCAAGCACATGCAAGCCAAGTCGTTCCTGGCATCTTCCGCATCCGGATCCAAGTTCTCAGGAATGCAGTCGGAACAGCAGAGTTTTGGTCGTTACCTGAAGCAATACGACAGCTGAAGAGGCGCTCAATAAGCTGTCCGAAAGTGCCTCCAGCTTGGGTATCAACCAAGCTGCTACTGTGCATCTTGATAGGTTTGCCAGAGCCTTGAATATGGCCAGGGCGACAAGGGCTGGCAAACGCAAACGTGATGGCACTCTCCACTCGTTCTTTACTAGTGGTTAGTAGCAGTAACGCTCTATATTTAGACACACTGTTATATTTACTGGATTCCTAAATCCCCCCCTGTATATATATCTGAATGTTGACTGTACTGCGCCGGAAAGCGACGGTCAAGGCGCCGAGGACGACTGAAAAGAATGCTTTTAGCGCAGGTAGATGCGGCAAACTCAGATTGATCAAAATAACACTTACACGTTCTATTTTCCTTATCTACCTGTCTTCCTGCTGTCGGACTGGTACTCGTGTGCCTAACTCCTGAGCACTCGCAAGATTGCCTGCAATGTTCTCAAATCGCAGCATCTTGCCACACTACTGCACCAGTAAGGAGGGCTGGCTTGAGGCGGTCTCAGGTGCCGCTGGCTGGACCACCCTTTCAGCCCTGCAGAGAACAGGTTTGTGGTCGTCGGTACCAGTTGGTACCAGTCAAACAAGGGGAGGATGCTTTCTACAAACCCAGTCAACGCCGACGAGTACTACCCAAGCGGACAGTTAACTACAACACTAGCTAGATGGTACGGTACGTATGGGACTGTGGGTATGGGAAGGAGGTTCTGTATCTTAGCTGCCTGCTGTAGCCAAATATCGAACAAACCATTGATGGATCACACTGGTACCGACACGCCCATACTCCAGTTCCAGTGTCCAGTTGCTGCACTCCCTTGGGGTTTCAATCAAGGTCATTTGCATCACCCGTCTCACCCAAGAGTACTGCCTTCATGAACAATCCGGTAGCTTTCTTCAGATACTCACACTGGGGAAAGGCTTGCAGTGCTGCAAACAAGGTCAACACTTCTCCTTGCATGACAGGGGCCTTCTCCATACCCAATGCACACAACCCTTTCACAAGCCAACATGAGTTTTGGATCTCCAGCTCTCGCGGAAAGGCCTTCATGGCAGCCACCAACAACGGCACTCCCCCCAATTGATAGACAAACAATGTCGCGGCACGTTTCTTGTCATGGTCACTGCCTACAAAGCACATGTTACCAGCGGTGGCAATTGCATTCATTTGGAGATCCTGGGAGTGACAGGAAAGATAATGTGAGAGGCACCGAAGGAATGGACAACCGTACGTTCCAACGCAAGCAGACCCTCACCTGAGACGTACGAAACTTCGTTAGGGCTCGAACGACCAACTCCATGGCGCCCATTTTGTGCAACGAAGAAACAAGATCTTGCTTCATCTGATTGTCGGGGTACCCATTTACCAGAGCATTGAGAGCGTAGCACGCAGCTGCTTGAATGTCCACACGTGATCGCCACTTTTTCATTGTGAGGACGAGAATGGAATGCCCGCCCAACCGAAACACCTCTTCGCACCCTTGCTCGGTTTCGCAGTAGTCGTACAAGTCTTCCGTGGCTATGGCGACTCGATTTTCATCATTGCTTTGGAGGCTTTCGAACAGAAGAGTCGACAAGCCTTCGTCGAATTCGTTATCAAGAGTGTCGTCGAGGACCTTCGCTGCGGAAGATGATGATACTACTGCCGATGGAACAATCCCATTGCTGCCAGCGCTTGACCGACGAGCACTACGAGATCTAGAGCGCTTGGCGCTGCTGTCCCTCTGATATTCATTCTCTCCACGCTTGGCCATTGTCACCAGGAAAACTGCAAACAGGTACGCTCAATGCAAAGTGGGAAGCTCTGTCTGGTTGTGTTCTTTGCCAACGGTGCCCGTTGAACCTTAATCCACTAGCTAGTAGTCAGATAGTACCGCGCGGTTTGGCAGTGCATTAGGTTGGAAGCCGCATGATTAGAAAGAGCTCATCGTCTCAAAGAACAAGGACAAAAAGGCACAGAAACTTCCGCTCAGCTAATGACAGTCTGCTGAACGGCCCGGACACCAGCTCCAAGGCAATCTTGCTCTACAGCAGACTTCGTTCAGGTGTTCTCGTCTCTTGAAAGACTTTAGCAGTGCAACCATAAAGCTCGGAATGGGGACCGGTACACTGTGCAGCTGTGCTGTGGCTTTTCAAGAAGCGAAGGACCGAAGCAAAACCTGAATCCCGCGCGTTTCCCACCAACAGGCAAGATCCAAATTCGGGATTGAACAACCCGAGATCGTTCCGAGCTTCTTTTCCAAAGATCCAACCGACGGAACCCTCATAATAAAGCACTCGACAAGAAGACAACAACACCATCATCGTATCGTTTCACTCTCCTTTCACTCTGCAGTACCCCACTTTCTGCTATTGCGATCACTCCCTTTCCCTTTAATCCGAGAAAATCGAAAAAGAAGACCATGTCTGGAGATAACGACACAAGTGGCTGCGCCAAGGTGTGCCTAATGATTTTGGCACTGTTCTTTCCGCCGTTGGCAGTGGCATTGCACGGAGTTGCCGGCGATGGAGACAATGCTTGTGGATTGCACATGTGCTTGAGTATCGTCTTGACCATCTGTTTCTGGATTCCAGGGGTGTGTCACGCATTTTGGTACATTCTCAAATAGAACCTTTCAAGCGAGAACACTGCCATCGGTTGTCCTTCCTACCTCCCATCTCCTCCTGCCTCGGCTGTCTCGACCGTACAACGCAACGTTATCAATTGGCACCAACAAACTGAACCAGCGAATGTACAAACGCCAAAGAACAGAACAAAGATAACTATAACAACACACAATTAGGAAATGTCATGTTCCCTTCTCAGCTTCAGATTATACCTGGCTGAATATCTGAAACCCAGGTGCCTTTCTGTAGCATGGCAGCAAAGAGGTTGCATATCCATCACCTCGGGAGACATCAAAAGGTGGTGTGATAGGTCCTCATGTCGCAGACTCCACACAGGTTGCTGCAAATAAGGACGTCAACCCAAGAACCCTTTAACTTATCTCGGTCCAAACCTAACAAGACTACAGGGAGAACACAACACTTGATGGAGGATATGTGAATTTTCCTAAGTATAGTCTGTGGAAGTGTAGAATCTAATACGCACTGCGTTTCGGCAGGAACCCAGGAAAGAAAGAAGCTGACAAAAGCATGTCTTTGTAGTAAGAAGCTGAAAATATATGCCGCAGTGCGTTGCTAAAGCAAGGTCGGAACTTCTGCTCCTCAAACATCCACAATGGATGGAAGAGGCTCGACTCCTGTGTCGGTGTGACTTGTGGAGGTGGTTCTTGTTGTGAGGATGGTGCCTTCTCCTCGAATCTCCACCCAGTATGTCATCAGCGTTCCTTTGCCTGGCAAGCATCGCGTGAGGAGTTCAGTTAGTTGCGAGCCTGGCTGTTCAACAATCATTTGGTTGTGTTTTGACGTGGCTTACCCTTTGCTTCAACCAATTCTTCTCTCGGTCGGACCCAATCATCTTTGCCAGCCAGTCGCAACAGTTCTGCTGTTTCCTCGGAAGCTTGGATTTTCCATGGTTTACCAGTGCTCTCCATTCGAGACGCATGGTTTACACTGGAACAGCAAGAATCAAAGTGTGAGTTCGGAGCAATATGCTTTCAGTGGTCTGAGATTCCCTTTCAACTTACGTGTCGCCAAAGAGTTGGAATCTTCAAGGGCGAGAAGGAGCATCAAGAAAGTGAGATGAGCCTGCAGCGATGGAAAGAACGAAAAAGTGTCTCCTGCGGCGACGTACCTGGCCTTTGCCCCCCTCAACACACCGCCGGTTACTAAAGTGTGAAAGATACAGACAATGGAAGTTGAGTCGACAGTGGTTCGTCGCCATACAATCATGCCCGAGTGTTCAGTGCGCAAACTTACGAGAACCAGAGTGAATACCAATCCTGATGGACAAATCCCCAGTGTCGGGTCCAAGTCTTGCAACTAAGCGAGCTCTCATTTGGCTCATTTTGAGTTGACACTCATTGGCGAACTTTGCAACTCTCACTGCGTGATCAGCTTGCGGTTTCGGGACACCTGGGAGATACAGGAAGAAGGGAGATGTGAGAGGCATGCTCGCATCATGTTGCTACGTGATGGGCACGACACGCAAGTTCTAGGCCATACCTGCGACCGCCATGTAGCAATCCCCTGGGCACGCAAAATCAATGGAGGGAGGATGGTCAGGGTTAGATGTCTTCCCGTTTTGGAGGAAGATGGAAAGGCTGTTGCTGGACCTTCCTTCACTTACCAATCTATATATGCAAGGAAAGGGGAATGAGTAAATGCAGCGTCAGTAAGCGAGAGAAGGACGGAACTGCAAGCTGCTCCTCTGGGCCCAAACGAATCTTACGGTTTCCACCTTGAATATGCCCCGGCGCGCAGCAATCCTATCAAAAGACTGAAAGAACAGAATACAGTTGTAAGTCAGAATCAAGATACCGACAGAGATGCACACTCTCAGGACAAAGCTGTGGAGCAATCCTTACACCATAGAGCATCTCCAGCAGCTTGAAGACTTCTGCTGCAGATTTCCCAGAACTCCACTTCGTGAAGCCGGCGATATCTGCAAAGAACACAGTTGTTTCATTGTAATGGTGGGCGTTCGGCACAGTATCATCGTCTTCTTCCATCACGCCGTCAGTATCGACCATTTCAAACATCTTGGATATGTCGCCAGGACGTCGTTCCTTTGGTGCGTGATCCGCCTTGGCTTGGTTGTACAATCCTTCCCGCACCTCAGCTGGAAACAATTGATCGACGACTTCGGTGCTCTTGACAGCAGTCTCCAACACCACATGCTGCCTTCGTTCCACCACCCTATCGTAGACAACGAATACAAAGCTCGTGAATGCAAACACACACACAAGGATGATGACGAAAACCACCGGAGTGTTGGTAGTGTACTGGTCTTTCATGTGCTGCGAGGGATACACTTTGACGTTGTAGGTGCAGTGATGAGAGTCCGCAAGCAAGTTTGCATGCTTGGTGCCGAGAAAGGCCCCGAATCCTGTCGAGACCTCGTATTCCGTGAACTTCGGATCATGGAGGTCCCCAGGGCCAAGATATGTTGCCTCGGGTCCGTCAATCTGGTATGAGTACGACTGGTTGCAGGTGTTCTCCAAGACCACAATGACACCGTCAGCATTAGGGGGAAGGACGTTGACAAAGTAGACTTGCCAGTAGACGAGGGTGTCGAACACAGCCACCAGTTCTCGCTCTGATGCATCGAACGAAGAATAGATAGGGTAGTAGAGATCAGATACGGGGCCATCTTCGTAGTCGTTGCCTCCTCCCTTCCAGCGATTGAGAATGAGCTGGAGAAGCGGCTTGCGGCCAAACACATCTGGGTCGCTCTCGTCGGAAAAGTCGAAAGCTCTGGATGTCACAACACTCTTGGTGTCCATGATAGCAATCAGCTCGTTGGTATGCGAGGGTCCCTTGATAGCATTGAAGTTGACCAAGTCCCAAAGCGGTAGAGCGGGCGCCCACTGCCACACAGGAAAGTCTACTCGATAAAAAAGCAGAATACACAGCGCAGTGGTTAGTTTGACTGAGTAGTCTTGACTTGGAAACCCAGACAAGACAACTGTTCACACTTACAAGGACCCGGTCCATCTTCAGGCCCAACTTCTGCACCGAGAGGTTGGTAGATCTCTGCTGGGATACTGGGACCACTGCTGTTTCCGGTGTCGCCAGCGCTGCTATCACTTAGGTAACTTCCTAGGAATGCCAGATCGGCTTCTTCCTCTTGCAAAGCCCCAGCGCCGTCGTCGATGCGTTCCAAAATCTCCTCTTGACGAATCAGTAGACCAGCTTCAAGCCACCCCTGATTCTCAAGTGCATACTCTTCCCACGCCCCGCGGGTCTGGTTGGTAATGATTGGGAACATGAAGATCGCCACGACCTCCGCCAAGTCCATGATACGAGAAGCTCGACGTTCGTAGTCTGGCAGAGTAACGAGAGGCCACTCGGCTCCAGTACTGATAGCATGAGAAGTGTACGCCTGAGACAAGGTGTCAATGGCCTTGACACGACGTGCTGCGTTGGTTTTGAAGGAATCCACCACCTTGGTGCTGTGATCGGCAAAGGCACTTTCGAAACGATCTTCTTCGCTGTCGCTGGCAAACTGATACATGATGACACATACAGTCGTGGCCACAGCAGCAATGGTAAAGAAGACCAGCAAACGAAGGTACGAAATGGCCTTGGTCTCGCGCTTGGCCAGGGATTGATCGCGGGCTGCAACCTCGGCTTTGTCGACCGATGCACCTTCCTCGAGAAACGCGCTGCTCGCATCGTCGCCATCGCTTTCGCTCCTCGCAAACTCCTTCACACGTTCGAGGGTACTCCCCCGTACACCATCTTGGTTGCCATTGCCATCAGGTTTGGGCGTCATGGTTGCTCTTTTGATGTGTCCTTTTTCAGAACGAGAATGAAAATGACTGTTGTAGTGCTTTGATCGAAAAACCAGTCAAAGAGTGCTTGGAGCTTGGAGCTTGGAGTCGAGTCGAATCGAGTCAGTCGATGTCAAGAGGATTTGTGAGTCGAAGCCAAGAAAATGTATGTGACCTCGTCGAAAGAATCTTTTGACGTGGAAGGAGCCTGGAGAAAAATCAAAAATAAATCTTTCCTGTGACGATGGCCAAATTGTAACCTGACAGCTAACCTGACGTGGTAGTGCTAGCATTCTTTAGAAAGCTTCTTAGTAGGATTCGCAGGAAGAGGCAATAGCAAGAAACGAACCATTAAATTTTTGGTCATGGCAAATATGGATTAATAGTTACAAAAATGGGAAGTCACGGGACTTTAAGTGTTGGTCGTGACACAAATCGTATCCCCTAAGTAACACCTTTTCACACTCAAGTTGGTCTCAAGAAGGCGTTCAAGCTATATTAATTAAGAGATAGTTCAAGGTTGCAATTGAAGGATGATGAGAATCTTCAATCGATGAGATTGAGAGATTATCGCCGCATCGCCGCACCTGTCGCCGCCCAGAACTTATTTTTTCAAGGACATAGAGTCTACTCTTTCGCAAGTACGAAAATCACCGTCCAGTATCTCGTCACTCTCCAAGCTTGCTCTCTACAGGACCTCTGTGGAAACTCGAGTCGTGCTACTTTTCGTCTCCTAAATCCGCCCACCTTCCCAGACAGGGAATGAAGAGATTCTACAGAACGGAGAGTATGAGTTAACAGGGAGCCGACCATAAGGGAGACTGACGGACAGGAATCCAGGAGAGCCACTCATCCAAGGATGAGGTGGTGGACCGAAGTGTCGGGTGCACAGGTGGTGTGCCTATGTGGTGTTGATGAGGGAACAAGGCTCACGAGAGATTGCCTTGTGGACCCACTCCGCTACGCGCGCGGCGGTTCGTACACTTGTAAGACTTCTTTCTGAACAATATAGTATTCTGGGCCCCTACTGGGCTCTGCGGTAAGGTGGCGTTGTCTTCCTTATTCGGGCGGGTTGCTGCTTCACCAGCTGCAAGACGACGTAGGGCTTCCTTGCCTGCCTTTTTGGCCGCATTTCCACTTCAGGGCATGGTCCAGGAGCAGCCGGTCCCTGGCCCGCTGGAGGATGGTCCTCACCGCACTTCTGGATGAGGGCGATTCCGCGAGGGCAGCTCCTCCTTCCGGGAACCTTCTGCTCTCCAGTCCTACGCACGCGAAGACAGGAGAGTCTCGTACTTCCTTGTCCGTAGAGCTTAGATGCACGCCAGTCGCGTGTCGTCATGACTCATCCAGTTGTTGTTCAGGAGTGACCAATACAAAGTTGCGATACGGGCTCAGAGAGCCCCGGGACATTGCACGACCATGATCGTGCACGACCATGATGCCCACTCTCTTCAAAAACAGGTAAGTTAAAAATACAAGTCTTGCGCGATGAACAGTGGGTGTGGCGCATCCTTGGCGGAACAGACAGCTGATGACAATGCGTCGGACAGAGGCTTTCGACTGAATCAACTTCGGATTCCTTGCGGTGATGTGGCCCATAAATCCCATCTGGCATATCACATAAATCCCCCCACCCGGTGTCGCGCGAGGCTCCAGAGGTACGATTCGATTTCCCTACCGACCGAGGATGGTCGCGTTGATTCGCTCCGAATGGAACGCGGCAACAGTGTTGTCCTCCAACTTCTTCACATCTCTGCTTGAGTTCTCGCTAGGTCTCGTCAGTTCTTCGCAGACTGAGACTCGAGTTTCGGAACGGCTGCTGCCAACTTGAGGTCGGGTGGCACCTCCTCGTCGCGCAGTTTGGCGACTGACGCGGCGAAGAGAGACGATTCTGATTTCGCTGGATTACAACGTCGCGTCCACCGGTCTGTGTCTTCACCCTGTAGGAGACAATACATTAGCCATGGCTGTTGCCACAACTGTCTTCCTGGCCTGTCCGCCAACAAAGAGACACTGATTACTTCTGGGGCCAAACCTTCCGCGAGAACTGCCGTGCCATCCTTGATGGGGATGTTGAAGATCGCATCCTTGTCCTCGGTAGACGGGTCCTTTCCTGCGAGCACCTCACGGTGGGCTGGGCCCCGGCGGATGCGTCCCCAACATCACGGCACCTATAGGTCGGGCTCACGGGACTCCTCCCCAACATCGCGGCAATCTCGTCACGCGGGGCCGGGGCAGTTGTCCAGCATAGTATGGGCCGAGTTTCGCGCCCGACTCACAACCCACTCCACACACGGCTCCTTCGGCAAGCGGCGCCTCCGCGGCCCAGCACAGGCAAGAAATCCTATCCGGTGCCATGCGAGATGTGGCTCTCTGCGCTGATTCGCTTGACACACCTCACCCACCTCCGTATGCTCCACCCCATCTAGACCCCGCTCTCACACCACTACACACACAGACACCAGCCAATACAGCATACACAGCGGCACCTCAGGGTTGGAATGAGATGGTGACCCCAGAGGGAGCAAGCCAGGCGTGTTCGCGGAGCCGTACCACACACAAGTCCGCCACTGATAACCCATCCCGCGGTGACCTATACCTCAGGGAGAGTACTTCCTGGCGACAGCCTTAGGCGGCCAGGGACGTTGATTAACGACGTCAGCTGACACTCTGCTTACTATAGCTTGTTATTTGGCGGCCCATCAGCGGCCTTACGCAAACACTTCCAGTATGTGCTCCGGCTGCCTCGTTTTCACGTAGGAGCTTCTGGTCGGCCATCTCAGTGGCTGTTCTTGCTCATAGTTTGCTGCCGCGAGCGCTTTTCCTTCTTGGGCGACTTTCCCTTAGCTCGTTCCTGTGCGGCCAGCTCCGAGATCTTTCGGGCTCTCTCTGCCTCGTTCAGCGAGCCTTCGGTGTTTTTCTTGCGGGCAGCGACTTCTGATGACCCTGGATGGGGGTGCTGAAAGATCCGCCGGTATCCCTGAGAAGGTCCCGGCGAGGCCGGGGGCTTCTTCGCCTTCGAAGGAGATCGACCCTCCACGTCCCTTGGTGTTTCCACTCGAAAAAGCTCGTTTGGCGTCAGGCGATCCCATGTTCACGGTTTCCACCTTGGGGAATGTAGAGGGGGTGATCCCTGGAGAGCGGTTCGGCGGGTCCTTCATGGAGCGCGGTCTCGTCCTCAGCTCGCTCTTTGGCATTGAAGAGCGGCCGTTTCGTTGGGGGGACAAGGCGGTACTAGCGATTCCGTCAAGTATTTGTCATTGCGTCTAAGCACCCCTTCAAAGGAGTACCCCACACTGGTTGGACCGAGTAGCTACCTCGGTGACCGGCTCGGATACACTCGATACCACGGTCACTAAACAAACATAGACGAGTACCTTTCATGACGAATCGGGCTGGACAAAACATCTCCTTGCACACCACTCCGGCCGGTGTGAAAAACGCCGCCATCTCCGACTCAGGACCCTAAGGAAGTCACCACTGTGTGACCCGCCGCTGGCCGTCATCAAACTCTAAGTCATGCTTACTTTTCTTCAGTAGTAAGGTTTGGCGAGGGAGGCGGTCACTGTCGGGCAGCAAGATACTTTTTCAGGTTGCGGACGCTCACACTAATTACCCCAGTCAAAAAGGAAAATGTGTCGGGCGGCTGCAACTCTGTTCAGAAAAAGTGAAACCTGATTTGTAGCGCGCCGATTAGTAGTCCTCTCTAGCTAG